GACTGCAAATGAACCTGCAGAAAACTAAACTGATGACCAATTCTACAAAACTATTAATAAAGATAAGAAACAAAAAGCTTGAATATGTAGACACCTATAACTCGACCACCACTCGACGAAATTGAAGTGGAAATGTGGAAATCATTGTTAATTATCGTTTTCTAATTACCTTTAATAACCATTATTAAAAACGAGAGAAGGCAATTACTTTTCTTACTTTTATTTATATGCTGTTCTCAGTTGGATGTGAGGTGAGCACAGATGTTACACTACTGGATTATCTGCGTAGCTACCTTCGTTTAACCGGCACCAAGTATATGTGTCGTGAAGCTGGTTGCGGGGCCTGCATCGTCACAGCTGTTCAAAACCAGGATACCGCTCCCACTGCAGTAAATTCAGTAAGAATTCATGAATAATATATAATCTATAATCTTATAATCCACATATAATCTCCTTTTCTTTTATGGAATATTAAATTTCTTTTTTACTTTACCATCAACCCGTAACGGTAACCTATATAGCTGGATGTTCTCTTTCCCGTTCTAGAATAGATTTGTCTTAATCTTTACGTTTGGCCGGAGGAATGACGACCGCATTACATGATATATTCAAAAGTATATATTTACGAAAATTTAATGTATGTTCACGATTAAATATTTTATTAAACAAAAACAGTAAAAAAAAGTTACTATAATATATCTACATCAATAAAGTTTGATAATAAAGTGATCGCTTTCAAGCTGTTTCAAAAATAAATTTTATAAATAGTTTGTAGAACTTTTCATACTGTATAATTTATTTTAAAATTTTCTTGCTGGTTCTTCCCAGGACGGAGGTTTTTCTCCGAACCAGTTTAGTAAAATTAAAAAATGACTTTTAATAAGAATTAGGTATGGTAAAAATAGTTTTAGGCCTTACATGTTGTACTGTAGGGCACAGGCTTTTTTACTTAAAAGAGAAACAACACTCCTAAAAACCTAAAAGTGTATTTCCGATAGGATTTTTAGCTCAAGCAAGTGTACACCGCGCTTCCCCAATGCGTGTTAGCGGAATTCACATGTCTTCGAAATATATTTTTTATTTCTCAGACATGCACGTTTTCTCACGATGTTTTCCTTCACCGCCCCGTACGTGGTAAATTAGCACTTAAAATTGCAACTAACAATTTCATTAGTGCTGGCGGGGATCGAACCCCGGTTGCACGCGTGCTGTGAAATATACAGTGAGCGCTAAACCCCTACGCTACCACGGCTCTAAAAAAATATTCTATTCAAATCCTACTATTCTATTCAGACGTCTTTCACATTCGAGACTGCTGTCCGTCGCCAGGGTGGGTATTTTACGTCTCACGTAAACGAGATTTTTATTTAATGATTTCTTATATTTACGCGAACACTACACATTGAAATAATACTAGTTTTTACGGAATTTATCGCGTATATTTTAACTTTTTAAATACCCGACGTTTCGAACGCTTTACAGCACTCATGGTCACGGGCAGGACTGAGATGTTCAACGTCCATATGTCATGGTTAACCGCGGTTACCATAGATTAAAATTTAACTTTTGTTCCGATCTATGCAGTATGAACTTATGGTATCTTGAAGTCTTGCAGTTGTATGCTTGGGTTGGGATTTAATTTTATTTATTATAGAATCCCAAGCAGATGGTAGCACCCAGCCATCTTCTCTATTGAAATTAGGATGTTTTTTGATTTCAATAGCCTCGCGAATCATCCTTGGAAAGAATCGGTGTTCTTTAGCGAGGATCTGCGGTCTATCAAATCTGATGTAGTGACGGGGGCGATCCTGTACGTGTTCACAGAGTGCAGACTTCCCGGAGCGTCGATTCTTCACATCAGCTATATGTTCTTTGACGCGGGTTTTTATTGATCTTTTAGTTTGTCCTATGTAGGAGAGACCACATTCACAATCAAGCTTGTACACTCCTGCATCTTGCAGAGGGACATTACACTTGACCGATGGTAAAAACTGACCAATGTTCTTCAGCGGCTTGAAGTATGTTTTGATGGAAACGCGCTTCAAGATGTAGCCAATCTTGTCAGTGACTCCTCTAACATATGGCAGTACAGCAGGTACACGCTCGACTGTGGCCGGCTTCACTCGTTCACTGTGACGTAGGCGCGGGACTCGAAGCTTGTTGTCATGCAAAACTTGCTTGACATGGTGGAGCTCTGCAGCCAGGTGTTTACTGTCACAGATCCCTCGTGCTCTCTGAAACAAAGATTTACCCACGGTAGCTAACTGTGAAGGATGGTGGTGAGAATCACCGTTTAAATATCTATCTGTATGGGTCTTTTTTCTATACACAGTATGGCTCAAGGTGTTATCAGGATTCCGAATTATTAACACATCTAGAAAAGCTAAGGAATTGTTTGCCTCTAACTCCATTGTGAACTGAATTTTAGAATTTATAGAGTTAAGATGGTCTAAAAATGCAGTTACTTTATCTAAAGGTAGAATTGTGAAAGTGTCGTCTACGTACCGCTTGTAGAACCTTAGATTTATGGGAGAACTAAGCAGGGCCTTCTCCTCAAAGTCTTCCATGAATATGTCGGCGACAATGGGAGATACAGGTGAGCCCATCGCCATAGCATCTACTTGCTTGTAGTACTCCTCCTTCCAGAATTGGTAGCCAGATGTAAGGCAGTGTCTGAGTAATACTGCATATTGTAGGGGCATGTTGTTTTCTTCCAGCCTTCTAGTTACAATTGAGATGCAGTCTTCAACAGGTAAGCATGTAAACAATGACTGCACATCAAAACTGACCATAGTTTCATTGTCTGCCAGATGTAGGTCTTTAATCTCGCTGACAAAATGGTAGGAATCCTTTATGTGTGCTCTTGTATGTCCCCTGAGTGGTGAGAGTATTTTCGCTAAGTGTTGAGCCAATCTGTAAGTTGGTGAATCGATTTGGCTCACTATGGGACGTAATGGAGCATTGGGCTTGTGTATTTTTGGTAACCCATACAATTTTGGTGATTTGGCGCACGTAGGTATTATCCACTTTACGTCCAGATTTAATTTTTTCGGAGTGTTTCTTTATGAAGTCACTAGTTGTTTTTAGTGTGCTATTTGTTGGGTCGTTTTTAACCTTTTTATATTAGTGTTTATTGCGTAGGTTCTTTAACGCTATAAATTCGTCTTTGGGAAGATTCGGTTTAGGCACTGAACATCGACGTAACATAGACGAGATGTCTTGACGTATCGCCTCCAAATCTTCTTTTCGCATATTGTTTTTAAATAAACAGTCCTCGACACTACAGATAATTTCTTCTTTCTATAAATTCTAAAATTCAGTTCACAATGGAGTTAGAGGCAAACAATTCCTTAGCTTTTCTAGATGTGTTAGTAATTCGGAATCCTGATAACACCTTGAGCCATACTGTGTATAGAAAAAAGACCCATACAGATAGATATTTAAACGGTGATTCTCACCACCATCCTTCACAGTTAGCTACCGTGGGTAAATCTTTGTTTCAGAGAGCACGAGGGATCTGTGACAGTAAACACCTGGCTGCAGAGCTCCACCATGTCAAGCAAGTTTTGCATGACAACAAGCTTCGAGTCCCGCGCCTACGTCACAGTGAACGAGTGAAGCCGGCCACAGTCGAGCGTGTACCTGCTGTACTGCCATATGTTAGAGGAGTCACTGACAAGATTGGCTACATCTTGAAGCGCGCTTCCATCAAAACCTACTTCAAGCCGCTGAAGAAGATTGGTCAGTTTTTACCATCGGTCAAGTGTAATGTCCCTCTGCAAGATGCAGGAGTGTACAAGCTTGATTGTGAATGTGGTCTCTCCTACATAGGACAAACTAAAAGATCAATAAAAACCCGCGTTAAAGAACATATAGCTGATGTGAAGAATCGACGCTCCGGGAAGTCTGCAGTCTGTGAACATGTACAGGATCGCCCCCGTCACTGCATCGGATTTGATAGACCGCAGATCCTCGCTAAAGAACACCGATTCCTTCCAAGGATGATTCGCGAGGCTATTGAAATCAAAAAACATCCTAATTTCAATAGAGAAGATGGCTGGGTGCTAAAATCTGCTTGGGGTCCTGTAATAAATAAAATTAAATCCCAACCCAAGCATACAACTGCAAGACTTCAAGATACCATAAGTTCATACTGCATAGATCGGAACAAAAGTTAAATTTTAATCTATGGTAACCGCGGTTAACTATGACATATGGACGTTGAACATCTCAGTCCTTCCCGTGACCATGAGTGCTGTAAAGCGTTCGAAACGTCGGGTATTTAAAAAGTTAAAATATACGCGATAAATTCCGTAAAAACTAGTATTATTTCAACGAGATTTTTATTATTTTTTACTGTTTCAAACGTCGAAGAATCGTTCACTGGACTTTTGTTAATTCGCTTCTGAGCAACAAGTTGAGTGATCCATCACGGGGTCCGCGGGAATCTTCATAGCTATGCCAGAATCCGTTAGTTGGTGCTGATGTAGTCAAGTTATAAACATATTCTATATTATTATACCCCATGCCCCAAGGCTCACAATATTTGTTACAAAAATGATAAAATCTTGACCCGATAGGTATCGTTTGTTGTAAAGTTCTATTTAAATGTTGTATTTACACTCTGTGTAAATATTTCTGAGTAAACTTGGAGTGAAACTTATCGCACCACCTACCGGAGCAGAACAACATCTACAAAGCCATTTAGTCAAATGTAATTCAGTCTATAATTTTTAATTTTATGATAATTAATAATAATGTAGGTAATGTACCACCACCTTATAATTTGAATAAGCAACAAAGATATTCACTTTTTAAAGCGACATCAAACAAAGTTTTATTTATACCCGCACTAAAAATTGTTATTACTAAGTTTATATAGTTATTGTTTTCATGTAAGTGACGATTGTCTTATTGAGAAATAAAGATCTTTAAACCGAATGTAATATTAAGATCAGCAACATAACATATTACCTATTAGTAATTATAAAAAAATCTTTATGCATCAGTGCATGGTGCTCGTAACATCGTGTCATGGTTGGGACATAACGACTGTAGAAGGAATTGGAAATCGCCTTACTGGATATAATAAAATACAGACTACACTCGCGGAATACAATGGAACTCAATGTGGTTACTGCACCCCGGGATGGGTCATGGCAATGCACAGGTAAACTTATACATTTTCATGAGTGTTTAGATTAATCTAGATGGTAAGAAACTTCGAACTTTCTAATCGAGGGTAGTTTGTTGATCACATCAAATCAAATATTTTTATTGTGATATAAAGGTTAGAGATATTCTACAGGAAAGACATTTAGTGTAGTGTATGTAGTTATTTTATGGGCAAGGGAAAACAAATAAAGTATTTTACATTAGGTCTTTTAATAAAGTGTGACCAAAACGGTACTGTGACTCAGTTGTAACGGGAAACCCATTACTCCTGCTATTCTGCCAAATCCTTTGCGCATATTTGCGCATTTCATACAGGGTCTTAGGCAATTGATCAAAAACACAATATTGGATTGGAAGCCAAGTCTCGGTAAGACATAATATATCAGTATGCTTGATTTGGTTACTTCTTGATTAAGGTGTCTATTTAAATTTTAACATTGTATTTTTTGTGGCAAATAAATACTTTTTATTTATTATAATTATTTATTAATGGTACTTGGATCCACCAATTGGAGAATAATATAAAGAATGAGATAGTTTAAGAACTCTATCCGCGACTTGTCTTTGCAGTTGGTGATAAGAGAACTGGTTCTTTTCTCGCTTAAAGACTAAGTATAGCCATTTAGCGAGGAAACGCAGCAAGCGTTCTTGGCACCACAGGGAGTAGGACTGTATGATAATTAAGTATTTAGTTTTTTTAAATCGTTTTTTAAATATTTTATGTATTTCAATGTTCTAGTTGTATTATCTGTGTTCAACAAAATAGTATTATTTCATTTTAGTTCTTGTGGTTACCTTTAATTCTGTAACAATGAGTCTTCCCTAAAATAAATTTTGTTTTGGGGCAAAGAATATAAATATTTTTCTACGATTAAGCAATAAGCTTAGTTCATAGATCTTAGTTCTTTATTGTGACAACTACGTCCAAGTGGCGGTTCATTTTTAATGATTGAAAGTAAGACAAAGTTAAAAAGTTTTCGAGCAAGCGCAAAAAAGATAACGCGATGAAGGCAAAATTTAGACGAGTATTTAATCCTGTACATTATCATATTACATATTTTAAGTCCTGCACGGAACAAGTATTAGTTTAGTTTACAAATAATTGTTCCAGGTCTGGATGTGTGTCCTTGTGAGTGAAATTTATGTATGTAAACTGCCTTCACCATACAGTAAATCCTAGTGTATGGGGTCATTTTTTATATAAAAAGAAAGAAAAAATACATTTCACTAAATGTTGTAAGGTAAGAGCGCATATAATTTTGGGGACACCACGATATAACAATCTAAGTAACTTGATAAAAAAAGTTATTTCATCATTATAATTAGTATAGTTAAGCTCTTACTGTAAACCAAGGCCTTGTTTACTAATTCTAAGATTAAAGTAGAATTTAAGCTCACAGACTCATTGTCAGCCCTGAGCACTCAAATTGAAAGCCTCAAAGAATTTAATAATACTAAATAAATTTCTTTTTCAGTTTACTTCAAAGCAGAAAAAAGCTCACTATGCTTGAGATTGAACAATCGTTTGGCAGTAATATCTGCCGATGTACGGGATACCGGCCAATCCTAGATGCTTTTAAAAAGTTTGCAGTAGACGCTCCTGAGTCTGATAGAATAACTGATATAGAAGATCTACATATATGTAAGGGTAAAGATGGAGGATGCAGGAAAAGTAAATGCGTGGACTATGATTGGTGTATGGTGTCAAAAGATGAAGTTGAACAATTGTCCGTTATACACATAAAGTTAATAGACGGTAGAGATTGGTACAAAGTGTTTGATTTGAGGGACGTATTTAACATATTTCAAACTAAGGGCGATGATTCATATATGTTAGTTGCTGGTAACACAGCTAAAGGTAATTTAAATATTACGTACATACAATTCTATTGAGATTACTAATGCTACTGTGAGCCATTTCAAATAAGCTGTACTGTTGTGCTAGGAGTAGTTTATCACAATAGTCGAATGGAAGATTCAAATCCACGACTGGTTGTAGTCTGAATACTAACTTCCTAATGATTTCTTATATTTACGCGAACACTACACATTGAAATAATACTAATTTTTACGGAATTTATCGCGTATATTTAACTTTTTTACCCGACGTTTCGAGAGCTTTACAGCACCCATGGTCACGGGAAGGACTGAGATGTTCAACGTACATGTTCACAGATACAGGATCGCCCCCGTCACTACATCAGATTTGATAGACCACAAATCCTCGCTAAAGAACACCGATTCCTTCCAAGGATGATTCGCGAGGCTATTGAAATCAAAAAACATCCTAATTTCAATAGAGAAGATGGCTGGGTGCTACCATCTGCTTGGGATCCTATAATAAATAAAATTAAATCCCAACCCAAGCATACAACTGCAAGACTCCATGATACCATAAGTTCATACTGTGTAGATCGGAACAAAAGTTAAATTTTAATCTATGGTAACCGCGGTTAACTATGACAGCTGGACGTTGAACATCTCAGTCCTTCCCGTGACCATGGGTGCTGTAAAGCTCTCGAAACGTCGGGTAAAAAAGTTAAATATACGCGATAAATTCCTAACTTCCTAGCTTAGGCTACTGCCGCTTAAATTAACTTAGCTTAATTTAGTTTTAGTTACATAGTTTCTAAGAAATTTTTAATGCAAACTTATCAAACCAGTGTAAATAGTGAACTGATGACTTGACCAGCTTTGTAAGATGTCTAGTACTATTTTTTTTATTTAATAAGGGTGACAACGAGCTTACAGTAAAGTTGATGGTAAGAGGATACTGTAGCCCATTGACGTCTACGATCCTCGATGAAGAATCAAAATGCAGATGCGTTATCACCTATGAACACTAAGGTGAAATTACCTTGTCTTGTTTCGAGTGAAAAGGGTCTCCAACCCGCAATAATCTGCTGTTTTACGGTGGTATCCTATGAGAGTGTCGTATTTAATGTTTACTAATTTGTGTTACTACTATAATATAGCTGTAACATGGCTCTACCACGTGTAAAATACTATTAGTAGGGGAACCCAAGAGGGAATTTTTTGGATTTACTCAAGCGCGTCAGATTAAGGTAAGGTAAGTTAATTACGAGCTAAAAAGAGTGCATTTAGAAAATCTGACGATTTGAGCGTAACGTAAGGGAAGTTTCAAAATAAACCTTGTTTTGAAATTCTCGTATGTGGTAATATTTTTTTATTTTGACGAAAATAATGCAAAGATAAGTTTTGCAATCGATTTACTGACCACTACTATCATCTGCTCAAGTTTTATGAGTTGTTGAAGTATATACCTACAATTATTGAAATTATTTTTGATAAGTAACATTTATTTCCACAGATATTTAAATACATAATAATTGATTTGAATATATACTGAACAATCCTAATATTATGCAAACACTTATTGAATTAATAATAACATTATATGTTTCTTTTAGTAAATTTAATTTTTTTGTGTAAATATTTTCTCTTGAAATAAAAATAATAATTGTAAATTTATTGCAGGAGCCTATCCAATAGACGAATATCCTCGAGTATTGATTGATATCACAGGAATATCAGAACTAAAGGGCTTCCTGATAGACCAAAATTTGATTCTTCGAGCTGGAACAACTCTTTCTGAAGCTTTAAATATTTTTAAATTGTTGTCTATCGAAAACTACTATTTTAAATATTTAGAAAAATTCTACGACCATATAAGTATGGTGGCGCATATTGCCGTAAGAAATGTAAGAAGTGTAACTTTATTATTATTCATGTTTTGAAAGAGAATATTTTTATTATTGTGCTTGCTTATAAAGATTTCGTAACGTATTTTTGGGAAGTATTGGTGTTAGTTAAGTTTTAATTGAAAAATTCTGCAAAGAAAACCAAATCAGAAATGTTTGTCATCATTTTCATTTTGTAAATAGTCCATGAATGGATTAGAATTAGTCATGAGCAGAAATTGATAGAGGCATCAATCGTGATTGTAATTTTGGCCGCTTAGTGTAACTTATCGATCTAGGAAGAGTTGTTATGCCTCTTTGTTTGGATGTAGCGAACGTAATTTAAGGAGAAGGCTTTTAGAGTATAAAGGGGTATAAATGATGACACACTAAAAATATTTAACATACAAGTGGGATTATTTTAATACTGGATAATTACTTTGTTTAAACAATATTTCATACCTGAGGGATGAAAATGATACTGTTCTGTTTATAACACGCGTTAAATAGCTGGACCTGTATGTATGAATGGATTTTTAACTTATTTCTGGCTATTTTTTATAGAATAAAGATGACGAACGAGCACATAATACACTTGATGGTAAGTGAATACTGTGGCTCATGAACATCTACATTTATCTTTAATTAAGAATCAATACTCGTATGTTGATGTGTTGTCATACCTAATGAATAAGATGTAGAAGCGTGTACTTCCTGGTCGAGATGAGCCTTCTTGCTACTACCAGAATATACCTGCAGCGTGGCTTTACTACGTGTACCCTATACCTTTAAACGAGCAATTCTTGTATATATATATAAACGGGATCTCGGAAACGGCTCCAACGATTTTCATAAAATTTAATGTCCGGGGAGTTTCGGGGGCAATAAATCGATCTAGCTAGGATTAATTTTTAGAAAATCTCTTTTTGTCCGTGTTTATATGAAGGTAAATTTTGACAGATTATTAATGATTATAAATAGCTTAATTGGTATATTGGGCGGTCACAGAATCGTAATACCATGGTTCGAGCCCAGACAAACCGACCGACTTTTTTTTCAAGTTCCTTTCTTTTTTGAGAAAATCTATTTTTTTCGAGCCTTTTTTTTAGTATTTTTTAAAAACATAAAAATTTAAATTAAACTAATTGCACTCATGAGTTTTTATTCAAATAATCAGTTCAGTTTTTTCTATTTTGTCGCTAAGATCAAAAATATTATTTGTATTTCATCAGTATGTATGTGTATGTAATTTGTATCTAAATATAATTTCCAAAAACACACGAATTAAAAAAAAACCCTTTCAACGCTCAACCAGGTACTATTGCATTAATATACACGTGGTTAGACCCGTAATTACTTTATATTTTAAATTTCTGAATTTAATTTGCAATGCAATGCAGTGGACGATATGAATGACAAGCTGGTGGAAACTGTCCATGCGGTCGGAGCTAAGTTCTGCAAGACCCGCCGCAGAAGAGTACAAAAACTCTCCGATCACACTCTTAATCTCATGGCTGTTAGACGGGAGATGAGCCTGCAATCGTCAACAGATTTGACAGCATACAGGCAACTGAACAGACAGATCTCCAAATGGATGCGGCGAGACTTACGCAACTTTAATACTGCTCGGACTAAAGAAGCGATCGAGCGGAACCAGGGCTCCAAAGTCTTTGCCAGAGATCTGTCTGCCAGAAAGAGCCAACTGTCAAAGCTGAAGACTGAGTGTGGCAGCATCGTTTCCGGGACACCTGAGATTTTGAGTGAGATTGAGAGGTTCTATGGGCAGCTGTACACATCATCGTTGGAGCCACACGCAAGTGTGAGTAACGATCCAAGAGCAAGTCTTACCCGACACTATTCCGATGATATCCCGGACGTCAGTCTGAGCGAGATTAGAATGGCTCTCCAGCACCTTAAAAACGGCAGAGCCCCAGGCGAGGATGGAATTACAGCGGAGCTTCTGAAAGCGGGTTCAATATCAGTACTTAGTGTTCTTCAGAAGCTCTTTAATTCCGTCCTCCATGGTGGCACTACTCCGAAGGCGTGGAGCAGAAGTGCGGTGGTCTTGTTCTTTAAGAAAGGCGACAACGCTCTCTTGAAGAACTACAGACCGATTTCCCTTCTGAGCCGTGTCTACGTGCTGTTTTCGAGAGTCATTACGAATCGTCTCGCACGCAGACTCGACGACTTCCAGCCTCCCGAACAAGCCGGTTTCCGAAAAGGCTTCAGTACCATAGACCACATACATACCCTGCGGCAGATTGTACAAAAGACCAAAGAGTATAATCTGCCACTTTTCTTGGCGTATGTGGACTATGAGAAAGCCTTTGATTCCGTCGAAATTTGGGCGGTGCTACAGTCCCTTCAGCGGTGCCAAGTTGACTGTCGGTGTATCGAAGTGCTGAAGTGTTTGTACAGTAGGGCTACGATGGCTATCCGAGTACAGAACCAGAGTTCGAAACCTATCCAACTGCAGAGAGGTGTAAGACAGGGTGACGTTATATCCCCGAAACTCTTCACCACTGCGTTGAAAGACGTTTTCAAGCTACTGGACTGGAAAGGATACGGTATTAACATCAATGGCGAGTACATCACTCACCTTCGATTTGCCGACGATATAGTCCTTATGGCAGAATCGCTGGAGGACCTTAGCACTATGCTCAATAACCTCAATAGTGTCTCCCAACGGATAGGTCTTAAGATGAACATGAACAAAACAAAGATCATGTTTAATGTCCATGTCACACCTATGCCGGTAGTTTTTGGGAGCACTATGCTCGAAGTTGTTGACGAGTACGTTTACCTGGGACAAATAGTCCGACTAGGTAAGTCCAACTTTGACCGAGAGATCAATCGATGGATTCAACTCGGCTGGGCAGCGTTCGGAAAATTACGACACATCTTCTCGTCAGGTATACCTCAATCTCTGAAAACTAAAGTGTACAACCAGTGCGTGTTGCCAGTGATGACTTACGGATCTGAGACGTGGTCCTTCACTGCTGGCCGTATGAGGACGCTCAAGGTGGCTCACCGAGCTATGGAGAGGGCTATGCTCGGAGTTTCTCTGCGTGATAGACTCAGAAATGAGGATATCCGCAGTAAAACCAGAGTGACCGATATAGCCCAACGGATTAGTAAGCTGAAGTGGCGATGGGCCGGCCATATAGCTCGAAGAACCGATAACCGATGGGGAAGAAAGGTTCTCGAGTGGCAGCCTCGTACCGGTAGGCGTAGTGTAGGGCGACCCCCCACTAGATGGAGTGACGACCTGGTAAGACATGCTGGAAGTCGATGGATGCAGGTGGCTCAGGACCGTGCTTTGTGGCGTTACTTGGGGGAGGCCTACGTTCAGCAGTGGACTTGTGAAGGGCTGTAATGATGATGATGATGATGATGAGTAAAAAGTAAAGTAAAGTTACAGCCTATATACGTCCGACTGCTGTGCACAGGCCTCCCCTCATTTCTGATAGGGTTTTAGGGCAAGGAAGTGTCCGCCGCGCTGCCCTAATGCGTGTTGGCGAACTTCACATGTCTTCGAAATAATTTTTTTTTCTTATACCTCAGACATGTAGGTTTCCTCACGATGTTTTCCTTCACCGCCGAGCACGTGGTAAATCAGCACTTAAAATTGCAATTAACAATTTCATTGGTGCCGGCGGGGATCGAACACGGGTTACTCGCGTTCTGTTATATTTACAGCGAGCGTTAACCAGATGATGAATTTAATTTAATTTTTTTTTCTTAATAATCTGTAATCTGTAGTGGCAGTGTAAAAATATCCACCACCCCATATTATCATCCTGTGGATGTAATAAGAGTTGACGGAGGAAACTACTGTTGTGTAATAAGTTCTTAAGCTGTTATACATGAAAATTGGACTCAAATAGTATAGTACAGGACAGTACCAAATTGGAATCTAGATTAATGGGACTGAGTGAATGTATACTAAGCCACAAGAACTACGGGCGAATTATTGAACTCCTGTAATATAATAAATGTCTAGTAAATTGCTTTCTCTCAAAAGGAAAACTTTATGTAAACACTTATTTTGGTAACTCATTGACCGTGTAGTGGTTGTTTGTCCACTACTATATATTATCCTTTGGTTATGCTAAGAGGAGATCAAGTCAAATGATAGGCAGCAGCCCTTATGCGGCAATCTATTGGGGAGTTTCAGCAGTGGAATCCAGTAAGCTATAACGGTAACGTTAATAATTTGAAATATTGCAGATTTATTACCATGCGATGATCTTAATTATGACTTACAATAACATTCTCACTAAAATCATCCCAGGTTATGTTCAATGTGTGTTGTTTTACAGTTTTTTAACCTTATATTATTTTCAGATAGGGACAATTGCTGGGAACCTAATGATAAAACACCAACATCCTGAATTTCCCTCTGATTTATTTCTTCTGTTTGAAACTGTCGGCGCACGACTTACTATTTGTACGTAGCACAATTTTTATAATCACTTTAAATAAAAGAAAATTTGTAGATCAGTGTCCAATTTATGATCCTCTCTACTTTTTCTATTTTAATTTTAATAAGGTTAGGAATGATGAATAATTTTTTATATTTATGTGGACACTACACAATTAAATAAAACCAGAATTACACATTACACTACACATTTAAAGAAATTTTACGCATTTAGACGAATGGAAGACCTCAGTCCCCTCCGTCACCACGGAAGCTATAAAATACTTGAAACGTGGAGAATATAACAAAGGTTAATACACGCGATAAACTGTAAAATATAGTTCCATTTAAATACGATTGATTATTCTCCAAGAAGATTTTTCTTAATATCCCTAAAAGTTGTCAGAAATATGCCAAGAGATTTGTGTAAGATCCGATCTGCAAGAAGAAACATCTTATTTGATTGTGTACTGTAAACTATGACCTCTTTAAAATTCATGAATTGTTTAAACTTGTTTCAGTAACGCCTTCAGAAAACAAAACGGTGACAATGCAGGATTTTCTAAAAGAAAATATGCGCGGGAAGATTATTCTGAACGTACTTCTACCACCGTTGTCTACTCAATGCCAATTGGTCACTTACAAGGTAGTAAGACATATTTATTATATTTATCAATTTATTTCATGTAAAACTTTGTTGTAACACCTTATGCTTCATTTAGCCTCGGATGCGGTGCAATGTAGTTTTGGAGAGTTTTATAGCTTACTACCAATCCGTCTCGACTTCGCACGGGTGATATTTAGATCTCTAGTGGGCCTAGTTGTGAAGCCATTAAGGGGCTCACTCAAACACACACACTAATCGGTTTAACCGTTGAGGAGGCGTTCAGTGATGTACACACGTACAGAAGTATTATATATGTATATAAAAAATAGCGCATACCCACGTACCTTACCGTAATTAAGTTGACTTATCAGCTTCGAACAAAACAAGAGTTGAACGTTCTGTTACGCTCTAGTAAGGACTAATTAACGTTAAAAATGAGTTAATTTTTTAATTATAAATTAGCTGATTCATTTTATCATAAATTATTTTAGTATGAAATTAATTAATTAAAGTTAATTTAATGATTTACAACGTGTTAAGTAATTAAATAATACTAGCTGTGCCTACAATTTCGTTCGCAATGAATGTTTTTAGTAACTTGTTTGTTTAAAAGTTTTATTTCTTGGGCCTATTGATTATATTTTATAAACTGCGCCACTGTTGCAGCTCAAACTTAGCGTAGATATTTCATTACTTAAAAGAGTAATTTCATCATGGAACCGATCAAGAGCATAAATTATTTCAACACTAAGGGTGTCAGTCCGTTGAATATTATATTTAAATAAAATTAAGTAACGTAGATATACATTATGATAATATAAAAACGGAACTAAGGAAGAAGTTAACAATTACCATAAGGAAGAATGACAACTCGTTTGTTGTGTAGTAGCAGCGTAAATGAATTTATCACTTACGCTGCTAAATAAATATAATGTAATGCTATAGCCAAATCGGTTGCGTCAGAACCAGACATAAAATGCTTAAACTCATGCGTCAGAAGCGCGACAAAATCAATCCGCCGGCCAACCGTTATAATTATAGCAAGCAAAATACTCCTACAGTGAGAGAGATCCATGTCTTATACTTTTACGTGCTGATGAAGGAGAGAAAGGATACATGCGTACGAGAATGTAATGTAACGTATAATTGTTAAGTCATCATTTCACAACTTAACCTCTTTTACACATTTCTGCGGTAAATGTATTTTAAAATCAGATTGCCTATAGCCATCAAGAGAGCTACGCGTACTCATTTTAGTAGTTATAGCCTTTTATTTTGTAAACGCATCCACAGTATATTTCATCGAAATTATCAAGCATTCTCAGTTTATCATCGAGCTTTCCAAAAAAGCGGTGTCTTGGCGCGTATGCTCTTGCATTGCGGTGTGGGCGTGTCAGTGTTACCGCTCAGCAACCTATCGGATTTTTTCAAAAACGTGGCGAGTTGCTGCATGACGCAGCAGATATCAAAGCAGTGTGCGATCGAGGTGCACGCCTGCGTCTGGCCAACGAAGTCTCTGATCATCATCAGTCAGTAAGCGTGTCTGCCTTTTTCTATTTTTTATCATGTCGAAAATAGAAGACTTCTGTGCTAATCAGCAGCAACTCCGGAGCACACGTCTTCAGCACAATAGGATGGACACCATCAAGACCACTCGACGTGTTGACATCCAGGGAGAGAAGTGCTCTATTCACTGAGCGTACATCCTGCATGGAGCACGAACACCGCGGGATGGTCGACGGTGTGTTCCCCCCGTCATAAAGAGTCGAGTTAGACACAAAGAGAGAGCCCAGCAGATCAGATTTGTCCTTTGTGGCATGGGCCAGTGAGTCGTGTTGAGATGGGAGAGATGGCTGACAGAAGTTCCCTTGGACAGCCTTGGTGTGATACCAGAATACACGTGTCCCCGGAGGAAGATGAACTAGATTCTCGCAAATTACGCCAATGTGCTCTGACTTTGCCTTAAAAATGACACTTTTGAAGGACCTAGAAGCAGAATTATACCCCTTTTTACAGCGCTGGTATTTGCATTCCGGGACGTTGATGCGTGAGGCCAGGCCTGGTAGCACTCCTGCTTTTGGCGTAATGCAATTTTGCAGGAGCGACCAAACCATGGCTGGATTCTGCCTCCAATAGGTACCACAGATGATGGAATAAAAAGTTCCATTCCCTATAGTACATCAGCGATATAATCAGCAACAATGTTGGGATCATTCGGCGAGAAGCGAACCCGCCTCCACGGGTAGGATACAAAAAAAGATCGCATCCCGTCCCAATCGGCAGGCAACGGCGGCAACTTGCAGAATGCAACCGCGATGAGAGCGTGAGTGGCACCGTACTCCAGATCAGATAATGATCCGAGGAGCCAAGAGAGACCTGACATCCGTCCGTATGAGAGCTCAGCAAAAGGTCCAACAGGGAAGGTATCCACATGTGGTAACCAGTTAGTCATATCATATGCCAAAGCAAAGTCATAAACAGATCTACCTTCGTGATCGGTTAAACGAGAACCAAGCCGTTCAGGGTGGTGGGTGTTAAAATCGCCAAGTATCACGATCTTTGTGGATGACAACTGTTGTAGCACGGAGTCTGCAGCCATTTGGACGTGACGTGACTTAATATTGGTTGGCACCATATAATAGAGGCTGATTTTACGTCCGAATAGACTTCAAAATTTCATAAATGAAGTTCTATAATTATTTCTTATATTGACGCGAGTACTACACATTGAATTAAACTAATTTTACGGATTTTATCGTGTTTAATTTTTACATGTTTACGCCATTTGTTATGCAACTTTGGATGAAAAAACATATCGTTAAAGCACCGACGCTCCAGGAAATTTGAAATATGTCGAAATATTCAGTATCGTCCCAACCAACATATTCAGTATCAGATTTGATAGACCACAATTTCTTATAAAAGAACACCGATTCTTACCAAGAATGATTCGCAAGGCTGTTGAAATAAAAGACATCCTAATTCCAATAGAGAAGATAATTGAGTGCTACCATCTCGTTGGGATCCCGTAATCAATAAAATTAAATTCTAATCCAAGCATACTACTGCAAGACTTCAAGGTATTGTTAACTCGTTTTGCGGAGATCGAACCAAAAAATGATAAACTAATCGTTTAGTATGACATCAGGACAAACAGGTCAAACATCTCAGTCTCCCCCGTGACTATGGGTGCTGTAAATTGCCCGAAACGTCGAGAGTTAAAAAGGGTCTTAAAAATAATTTAACATTTTGCCAGTCCAATTCAAAACTAATAAGTTATGAAACTAATTCTACGGATTTTGTCGCACTTGATTTTAACTTTTTTAATCCCCAACTTCTCGGGTGCTTCACAGCACCCATGGTCACTAGGAGGATAGAGGTGTTTAGCGTCCAGATAACATAGTTAGCCCGCCACCTTCAATTTTGAATATTATTTTTGGTCTGATATTCACAGAACGAGTTTATACTACCTTGAAGTCTTGCAGTGGTGTGCTTGGGTTTGAATTCAATTAGAATAATAATAGGATCCCAAGCAGATGGTAGAACCCATTCATCTTCTCTATTGAAATTGGGATGTGATTTGATATCAAAAACCTTGCGAATCATCGTCGGTAGGAATCAGTGTTCATTTGCGAAGATTTTTGGTCTGTTAAAATGATGTAATAGCGGGGACGATTCTGGTCATGTTCACAGACTGCCGAATTTTCGGAGCGTTGGTGCTGCTCTTAACTTTAGCTAAGAGTTCTGTTACGCGGGTTCTTGTAATTTATTTGTTTGGATTATGTACCAGAGACCACATTCACAATCAAGATTTTACAATCTTCTATGTTGTAGAAAAGGGATATTACACTTGACGAATGGCAAAAACTTACCAATCTTTATTTCCGGCTTGTAGTAGGTGAATAAAAGCTCATTAAGATGTAGCCAATCTTGTCTGTGACACGATGTCATCAGAATGTCACACACCTTAGTCCCTCCCCTCTCCCGACCAACAGTACTGTAAAGCATCCAAAACATCAGTAATAAAAAATTTAAATTTAACGCGATAAAATCCGTAAAGTTAGTATCATTTAATGAGTTGTGTTTTTGTAAATTTAAGAAATTATTACTAATCAGTTATTTCGTTTCTAGATAATGCCACGGACGGAAAATGTTCGTGCTATAGTGGATGCTGCATTTCTCTACAAACTCGATAATTGGAATAAGGTGCTAGAATGTAGATTGACTTTTGGTGGTCTTTCGCCAACATTTATCAGAGCTTATAAAACTGAAAAGTTTTTGGTCGGAAAGTTTTTGTTTAGAAATGAGACTTTACAAGCTGGGATTAAGATCTTAAATAGTGAGCTGATTATAACAAGGGTTCGACCAGAACTTTCCATAGAGTACAGAAGACGTCTTGCTATTGGATTATTTTATAAAGTAAGTACATACTGAGCTTTCTTTTTATCATAGTCAAGATTTTTTACCTTAAATCGTGAGTCCCTCTTGAGTGAAAATGGAATATACGTCTTATTTTAATGGAAATTTGTCAATAAATAGATTATTTTTAAAGAAGTTTGAGGCAACGAACATGCGGCTCACCTGATGATAAGTGACTATCATCCATGAATATCTGCAACATGTGAATTGCAGGTGCGTTGCCGGTCTTTTTCTGATAGTTTTCTAAGTCGTGTCGGTCTGGAAAAACCGCTGGATACAGTAAATTTCACAGAATGGTCGTGCGGACCAGAAAAGTCTTCGTAAGTCGCACAATAGTGGACCGCTAGCCATCAAGATGATGATGATGTAATTTCAAATTCTGTCGCAGTGACCGATGGTGGGATTCAGACGAGTTGCTTTTTCTTCTTCTTTATCTTCATCATCATTCCTGACGTTTTATTGCTGGTTATATTTCTTCCCAATTGGAAGGGGCTTGCTTTAATTGTCACCTGCTCCTTGCCGTCAGTATGGAGCTGCGGCCTCAACGTACAACTCGTGCTCGACTGCGTGCCAATTAGTCACCCTTATCCTTACACCTATAAATAGCAATTGAATTCATTTGACATTGATTAGTGCAGAGAAGTGGCCATTCGGTAATACCAGCGTAAAATAGCAGTCTAATGTTGCTGTGTTTCGTTTGTAGAGAACCGAAGACCCTTTTCACCGGATATGTGACATTAATTCTCAGGGGTGACAAATCATCTGTATTTGATTCTTAATCGAGGATAAATGTAGATGACTAGGGCCACAGTACACCATCAGATAAATGTGTGCTCGTTTTACCCTTATTCTTTAAAAAAATATCTACATCTTCAAAAATATGACAGGGCTTATTAGTAACCTCTGACGTGACTTCGGTATTCTAGGAGAAGAGTATTTCTGTCATCCTTCGTTCTGGAGGAATTTCAGGTTGCTGCGCTAACAAAAAATTAATAAAATAAAAATTTACATCAATTGTGATTGAGGGATCTCACGTAGTTTTAAGTTTGTATTAGGATATTAAGGAAAAGTTCAGTTTTTAGAGATATTCGAAGAAATGAATTATTTTAATTTATATATTTTTGTTTTAATGCAGGGATTACTTTGTCTATGTCCTGCTAATATAATTGGTTCAAGATACAGATCTGCAGGGATAATAGTGCATGATACACGACCAGTCAGTCAGGCAAGTCAAATTTTCGAAACGAATCCATCATTGTGGCCTCTAACAAAACCTATTCCGAAAATAGAAGCGTTGGTAAGTTTCACGATCCTTATTTTTATGTTGTTTGTTATGATTGGTTTTATTTTTTTTTTGCGCGGAATCCTAATATTTTTTAAAACTAAAAACTAGCTTAATCAAGTATCATTTCCAACTTTGGTGGATACCCATTCGTCAGCGACGAAGTATGCGCGCACTCATAACTCTATACTCCATTCTGATGTCTCCTATTCCTCCCTCTTACGTAACTTCTCATTTTCAGTACCATTGCTCTAGCCTTGACAGAAACCTGCGTTCGTCGAACAATCTTTTACTAAAGTGTCCCTCTCATAAATCAGGCTTCCTGTATACTTCCTTCACTGTACAGTCTGTGTTCCTCTGGAACTAACTCCCTCTTGAAATTAGACACTAACAAATGTTATGCATTCAAGAAGGAAGATTAAGTAAGATAATTAATTAAGACATTACTTAAATAAACTAGCAGAATAATTTCATTAGTAGTATTTATTAATTTAATTATATAAATATATAATGTACTATGTATGTTTCAAATAATTTTAGATTTGTAAGTTTATGTATTTACATTTGTTTTATATTTTAATACTTTAATTAACATTCTTGTTGTTTAGCGTTTCACAATCTACCTCATATTTTCATCTCTGCATCACCCAAAGTTTTACTGGTAGAGAATGCTTAAGGCGTTAACTCCACCTATACAACATATCGTATGAAGTTTGAATAAATAAATAAATCCTTATAATATCAGCCATCCACGTCAAAATCGGCCCAGCCACTTCAGAGATTACCCGGTATAAACAGAAATTTTAACATTGATTTTTTTTATAAGTACCATTTATACTTTCAAATACATTAGAAAAAAGCTGTTATTTTGAAATTACAAACAAACACATACAGTTTATTTATTTGTATAGATTTGTGATTTGCTTACTTTGGTAACACGTCTTAAGAAAAACAAGAACTCAACAAGACTCATCTCTTTCCTATTTAAAAGCACCTGTTTAACAATTGGTGTTGTAAACTTAATACATTTCGTTTTATAGCAAATTTTTGACATGAAACCAGGGTATTACTTTTGGTGTATTATATTTGCAGCAATATATTATTCACTTAGTCATATTTTAGTATTTGCCTTTTGAGTCGGATAATCAAAGATATGTTACCAGCTAGTAAAAATATATCATGGTTATTCCCTACCAAGTAAATTAATTAGTTGGTATAAACTAAGAACAGGAAGGGACCAAAAGTTGAGTCTTGAGGTACACCCATATATACTACCTATCAGAAAGAACTGCTTCCATTAATAAAACTACTAGCTTACGTTCTTTTATTTAGATATGATGTAATAAGTTTAAGCTACAGAAGCATTAGTCGTTTTGTGTTGGTTTGTTGTCATTTAACTAAAATAAAGTTCTGAAAATAGCCAATTTAATAATTAATCATTAGATAAATCACGCACATAAACTAAATATCGCTGCGTGCGAGTGTCTGTATAGCTTTGTATCTTATCCTCTTCCTATGTCACGGATGATATTTCGTGGTTACCGAGGGTGGTTGCCAAGTTTAATTGAATTCATCACCTCAGTTCATCTCACAGGACTATTAAGCTGCCTCTTACAATGCTTACCATATTAGCCACAAAAATGCTACAAAAAATTACAAAAACTAAATCAGCGACGGTCGAATGTGTATTACAACTGGTACATCATTTCTTTATGTGCTAGAGCCATGCTGCAGTTGTAGCATGAATGCGTCAGCTCGACCGAGGAAAGACCACGCTCTAAGAAAATACCAGCGATAATAATAATACCAGCTTAATGCTGCTGTGTATCGTATGGTCAGTGTAGAGTAACTGGAAACCATTTTTACAGGAAACGAGGCATTCCAAGCATCCACTTACCATCAGGTGGACTGTGTGCTCGATTGTCATCCTTGTCTTTTTTAATATTAAGTAGCTAATAGTGAGCGGTTTCTGTAGCACCCACAACCAAAAAAAAACGAAATAAGTCCCATAATATATCTTTGAGGACTGAATGAAACTAACTGAATATGAAACGTCATAGCCAGTAATTTATTTACATAGAGTAACACGGGTCAGCGGCTGGATTAACGTATTACAAAATGCTAAATTGTTCAGATTTTTGCTGCAAAAATAGATCTACCACACAAATTAAAAAAAGGATTTCAGAACTTTCAATCAAATTATTGCTCTTTAGTTCTTTTTTTAAACCTAAATATTACAATAATAACGGTTGTATTATTTCAAATTTGTGCGCAAACACAGGCCGATCGACCACATACAATATGTAGATTGATCGAGCGACCGATCCGAGTCTGTATCCGAGTTGACACTGTCACCGAGAGATACTTTTATAATATCCATGGGTGTGTGAATTTAATAGTTTATTGTTTTCATTGATATGTGTGAGTTTTGTAGCAACAGACGATTGTTTTTGTGTGCGCAAATCTCTCTACGAAAAAATGACACAGTTGTATCGAGAAAAAACGTTACGGCTAGTACCCTTCCATCTGCCGTAGGCCCGTGTTGCTATATGGCTTATCTATTATATTTGAATAAAAAAAGACATCGTAGTATATTTTAAATCAGTAGAACTAACGCATATTTTTTGTTCAGATCCAGTGTTCTGGTGAGGCTGTGTATACAGATGATATACCACCTTATAAAGATGAGGTTTTTATATCATTTGTGTTGAGCACAGTACCTGTGGGGACTCTAAATTTTATTGACACTACTAAAGCTTTGGTAAGAATATTCCACTAATTATTATTAATTTATGGTAATATTAGTTTAATTAAGTAGGTACACATGTATTTTGTTATTTTAATATAAAAAAGTAACCTCGTTTGCTACGCCCACCTTAAAACCTCTTAAGAACCATTATGTGGTTACTCCATAGTCTTTGTAAAATAATTAATTATTTGTCCTTAGTCATACACTAAACGGTACGCCTCAATGGAATTTGATGTGAACTTAAAGGTGTTTTTTTTTACGTTTGTGATCCATTTCAGAAAGAACCAGGTGTGATAGCGTTTTATTCTGCAAAAGATGTACCTGGATTAAATTCGTTCACACCGGCCGGTAGAAGAATATTTTTAGCCAATGAAGAGATATTTTGTAGCGGTGAAGTGAAATATTACAATCAGCCGATTGGAGTAATTGTAGCAGAAACGCAACAAATTGCTGATAGAGCCGCAAAACTAGTAGTCGCTTCCTACAGTAATATAAGAAGACCGATCTTAGATGTTAAGGAAGCTAAGAATGATCCGGCCAGAACCAGTCTTTACTCATCTAAAGTAGCAACAAAAAGAGGTTCAGATGTTGTAAAAGTAATAAATGGATCAATGGCTATATATCAACAATATAACTTTTGTATGGAAACTTTGACAAGCATTGGAGTACCAATAGAAGAGGGATTAGAGGTTCATTCAGCTACACAATATACAGAAGGAATACAAGTTATGACATCTCGTGCTTTGAACATTGATGAAAATAGGTAAGTTTGTAATATACAGGGTTTTTCAGTTCAAGTTTGTAATTTCAATGTTAATATGTATCAGTATTCAGTGTCCATTACTTAGTGTAAAGAGGATCCTTTGAGAAATATTTTATTTTAACTCTTAGGGTGGACGTGTACGTTCGTCGTATTGGCGGCGCATATGGATATAAAATTTCTAGAATAATTCAAGGAGCTGTAGCAGCAAATTTAACGGCTCTTAAGTTAAATCGGCCATGTCGGTTTATTCAGCCTTTGACAACTAATACCAAAGCTGTTGGAAAAAGATTGCCGTGTGCCACAGAGTTTGAGGTACTAGTATATTTCATTTTTAAGTTTGGTTACTATTTACTCCAGCACAAACATTTTTTATAAATTTATAAGATAAGTGACGTAAAACACCCTAACCGGTAACAGACAGCAGAGTCAAAGATTTGCATGTCTCATCATATCTCGTACACTGTAATCGTGAATCCAACTGCCATGTAATTAAGGTAAATTTTCCTATAATGGGAGAGTCCCATATTCAGCTTTAGACTTCTATGGTCTGATAGTAAATAAGATGAAGGATTGTGACAAAGAAGTTGAAGGTTCAATTTTCTTATAGTATAAAGGTGATGAACGAGCGCGCAGTCCACCTGATGGTAAGTGGTTACTGCGGCCCATAGACATCTACATCTATCCTCGATTACGAATCGAAAGGCAGATGCGTTGTCACCCATGAGAACTAAGATGGAATGCCTCGTAAAAAGTAAAAAAGTTCCAGTAAAAAGATTCTCCGGTTGTCTACACTCACCATATGAAACACAGCAGTGTTAAGCTATTTTACACTGGATTTCTGTGAGATTTATCGATTAATATCAAGTAACTTCAACTTAAGTGTACCTGCAATATATTCCAAACAAACAAGTTGCTATGTTTGGAAATTACCTCCAAAATTGATACAAAGTTCTCTTATGAAATTTCAATTTTGGGTAAGGCCCATTTCAGTAACACATTTATTGATGAAATTGACCATACTTACCACAATGAACTTTTTAGTGGTTGGAGTAAATAAAAACATTTTTAACTCATTCTTTGCAATTCAGTGCTTAACCACTTCGCCACGGAGCTATCGTTAATGGGTAAATTCTCTGAGATGGTAGCCATTTTTACTCAATAATGGGACGTATGCAGTCTGATAATTTTTAGTCTTGATAAACTTTACGAATTAAGTTTTCGGGTTTTGGAATAATACCATTTTGTGCGTTTATTTTGTCACCGTCATAGTGTAATTTCATTTTGTACTTATGTTTTGATGATATAATCGTTTCCAGGTAGGGGTGAATGCAGGAGGTGTTATTCAGTACTTGAATTGCAATCTGTATACTGATAATGGATACATACTTAATGAACCCCTTATCATGCTTGGCACTTCAGTAAACAATAATTGCTACGACTTATCAACTTGGAATTTTAAATCATTTAACACTGTTACTGATACTGCCTCTAATTCTTGGTGTCGATCCCCAGGTAAATTGGATGTTTGATTTTAGTTGATATGCTATTTCATATTTCTTAATCGGTCGTTTTTATTTTACTGTTAGATAAGTACATATTCAAGAATGAACTTCTTGAAACTAGCTTGAAACAGAAACATCTTATTACGTTAGTTTTTATATAGAGTACGAAAATGGTGTTGTTAGAAGTAAACAATTTTATTATTGACCCTGTTGTTCCATGTCTTTAATGGAATGAGTTTACGCGAAATAAAGCTAAATTACTAAAAAACTAACTTACAAACAAAAAGGTCGAAATTTAATTTTACTATAAAACAAAATACAAATCAAAATTACTACAAATTCTGACGATATAAAATTATTAGTCAAACTTTACAAGGTGGTGTTCACGGATCGATCACTCACTTCTCAATGTGATTGATCTGGGAGCGCTTCATTTTATTTCTTGTAACTAAATGCATATCTTTTCTACTTTTTGTAATTAATTACGGATTTGAGAACTTTATAATGTAATAAGTTCAATTATACCTAATGTAATTGTTTTTGGTGATGAAATTAATGGAGCGACATAATCAAATTATGATGAAGCTTATTAATAAAGAAAAAATAATTATAAAATTATACAATGTGTACGTGTACTAAAATATGAATTATTTTATATGATGTTAATTATTTTTACTCATCTTGTAGGAGTCCATTGCTAGATATTGGTCTGTTTCTCTACTCACATTTTTGATGATGCTCCTCATCGCCAAGTAAAATCTAATAGACGTAAAATACAGAGACTGGTGATTTTCAGCAGGGTTAAATGGGAGAGACATCAATCCGCTTGCCAAGCGTGACAATCAAATCAAATTGTCTGTAGTAGAGAACATGTTCAGAAATGGACTTTTGCAGAGAAACCATGAGGATTATTTTTAAGTTAAAACAAAATGTAAGTTATTAAGACACTTATTGGGCGTTGAGGCATAGCGTGATGCTGCATCACAATGGTTTTGGAACATAAGTGCCAAAAAATCGATGCGGCGAAGAATGCAGGGTAGCGGTCGACAGCGCTGTGCGTTAAAATGCATTGTTGACAATGAAATACGTAAATGGTTATTTGCTCGCCGCTTCGGGTCCGGCGTCACTTCATGTCGAAATAATATTTCTTTTACAACACTTCTCTATTAATTACTTATTAAAAGTCGTTTAACCTTCACCACTGATTTGATTGAAGAACCAGCATGAAATCCAGCGGGACTTTCTTTTTAAATTAATTAACATAATAATAGTTCCTTACATATGAAATTGGCGGTTTGTACGGGAGGAATATAAAGTCAATTTTTTGTATAAAATATTTAATTAATCAAAGTATGCACCGTTGTTATCTATGCATTTTTGCCATCTCATAGGTAGTTCAAGCATCGACCCCTTTATTAAAAAAAACATGGGGGTGAAAATCAATAAATTCTTTGAAGCCGTTTTCGACTGCCGCATCGGAGTTGAACTTTTTTCCTTGTTAGAAGTTAACCACATTCCAGTAAAAATGGTAATCTGTTGGAGCAAGGTCCGAGGAGTACGGTGGATATCGCAGAAATTCCAGTCGTAGCTCATCTAACTTAGTGGTTGTTTGTTGTGCAGTGTGTGCATTCCACTTCAGCTTACTAATCCGTTGGGCTATGTCGGTCACTCTGGTTCTACTGCAGATATCCTCATTCCTGAGTTTATCACGAAGAGAAACACCCAGCATAGTCCTTTCCATAGCGGGGTCAGCAACCTTGAGCTTCCTCATACGGCCAGCAACGAAGAACTACACGTCTCAGATCCATAGGTCCTCACTGGATTAAGAGGTTAACCTGAAGAGAAGATGTGTCGTAATCTCCCGAACGCTGCCCAGCCGAGTTGAATCCGTAGATTAACCCCTCGGTCGATGTTGGACTTACCTAGTCGGACTACCTTGTGTTGTCCTGAAGTAGCAGTGGTCTAGAGCGATTGACTAATCTCGGTTGTTTAGCAGCTAGTTCTTCTTTCATGGTTTGCATTTGCTGACAATAGTAATCTGCCGTAATCGTTTGGCCAGATTTTAGAAAGCTGTAGTTAACGACACCGGCGCTAGTCCAACAAACACTCACAAGTAAGTTTTTCTGAGTGAATTTTCGTTTAGCGCAGGATTTAGCTGGGTCTCTATGGTTCACCCATTGCGACGAGCGCTTCCGACTATCGTTCAGTATCCTCTTTTCATCACTAGTAATGATTCGATTTAAAACCTTTCATTTTTATATCGGTTGAGCAAAGTAACACAGTAGTCGACGCGTATTTGCAGGTCCGATTCAATCAATTCATGAGGTACCCATCGTTCCAGTTTTTTTACTTTTCCGATTTGCTTCAAGTGGATTAATACAGTTTTATCACTTATCCCGAAGCCTGGAGCCATCTCTGAAGTGCTTTGTGATGGATCTGCTTCCACAATAGCCTTTAAATCTTCATTTTCCACTTTGGTCACCGGCCGTCCACGGGGTTGGTTCTGAAGGTCGATATTTTCAGAACGAAAACGTTGAAACCAAAAACGTACCATGCTTTCTTTTGCGACACCAGCACCGTACACATCATTAATCCTTCGAAGAGTTTCTGCAGCACTGCCACTAAACATAAGTACCAAAAGTAAATATACCGATATTTTATGTTTTCCATTGTGCGTTAATAAGCGACGCCAAAGAAGAAAATAATGAGAAAAATAAATAAATGACTGTTTTTAAAATTTGAATTTGGAATTCTTAACCAAAGAGGAGATATTTCTAATCAAAATGGTCAGTACGACAAAACGCTAATTTCATATGTATGGACCCAATAATATTTTATTCAATTAAGTATGAAAACATTAAGAAAAAGCATGGTAACGTATCATCTCATTCCCAGGGGTTATTGTCAATTATGTTCTATGTAATATGGATTCTGTATTAGAACTGCTCTTGCCATGCCACCAGCCACCACGCAGGGTGTGATTGTATATTTTAATTATTGCACTATTTTTTGTAGGCACATTGGAGAACATTGCAAACACAGAGCATATAATGGAGAGAATTTCCTACGAAATGTCCTTAGATCCGATTCAAGTTCGAGTGGCTAACTTGGATCCTGCTCATCAGAGTGCAATACTGGAAATGTGGGATAATTTAAAAACAAATGCACAGTACGATGCAAGAAAGAAATCTGTAAAACAGTTTAATGAAGAAAACAGATGGTTGAAACGGGGGCTGAGGGTCGCTTTTATGAGGTGGAGATCAGAATCCCCTCTAGTCATGACTGCCAATTTATCCGTGTATTTCGGAGATGGGAGTGTAGCTATTACGCACGGTGGGGTTGAAATGGGCCAGGGTATTAACACGAAAGCTGCTCAGATATGCGCCTATTTTCTAAAAATACCACTAAGCAAGATTCAGGTAAAAGGACAAAGTACTATTTCTTCGCCTAATGTGAATGAATCTGGTGGAAGTGTTACGTCACAGAACGTAGGGTTAAGTGTTCAGAGGTGTTGTGAAGAATTACTTAGAAGATTGGAACCGATTAGGCGGCAAATGAATAATCCTTCTTGGGAGGAACTGATCGAAAAAGCACATAATTCAAATGTTGACTTACAAACTAGAGGCTTTGTTAGCTCAGCGGAAGCAGTTTTTTATGATATTTATGGCGTAATAGCAGTTGAAGTAGAAACTGATATAATTACTGGGCAGTGGGAATTAAAAAGAGTCGATCTTTTGGAAGATGTAGGTCAAAGTGTCAGTCCTGAAGTAGATTTGGGCCAGGTAAGTTTTTAAAGTTAGTTAAAGTAGTTACTAGTAGTTTTAATAAAACAAAGAATATTTATTAGAATAGGAGGTGATCAATAAGTAGAAAACGCACGGAATTGTTTCTAGTTGTCCTGCTTCCAATTTGTGGCAGAAAAAAAAGTGTGATCCCAATTCAATCAGAGATATAATAGATAGTGTATGTATCACAAATAGTAAAACCCTTTTTCAGTTTACGAATCGTAGTTAAGCTCAAATTGAACTATTTCCAGGTCGAAGGAGCATTTGTTATGGGTTTGGGATATTGGACGTGTGAAAAATTAGAGTTTGAACCAAAAACCGGAGAAGTGCTCTCAGATCGCACATGGAATTATTGGGTGCCTCAAGCAAGGGATATTCCACAAGACTTTCGAGTTTATTTTCGAAAGAAGTCATATAACTATGAAATCTATCTTTGTTCTAAAGGTGAAATATTTTGCACATCAAATCTTTATTCAGTATCTGTTTCTTTATTAAGTGAAAAATTGTGTGATAAGAGAAGATTATAGTTTGCGAGAAAATGTTGTGACCAAGATTAAGAAAGGAACTCTTTGGTGGTTTGGTCATGTAGAAATAATGAATGAGGAAAGAGTGACAAAGCAAATTTATGTTGCAAAAGTGAACGGCAGAATCGGGAAGGGCCGGGAAAAATGGACCAAATTAAGTGGTCCCTTAACCGATGAGCATGTATGCGTTGGTATATGATGTGCTTACCATTCTGGGTCTGGGTGATAGGCGTGAGTGTTTATGTTTGTCCACGTATTACTGCAGTCCATCATAAGCTCAATGATCAACATAGGTCTCTCCCCAATAGATTGTCACAAAGTACGGCCCTGAATCATCAGATCGTCACTTCATATGGTCAGAACCGTGTAGTGGCGTTGTAAGAATATCTACCACCACATATCATCCTGTGGGTGTCATATTAGGCGACAGAGAGAAACTGACCCAGGATCTTAATTACCAAGCGTGGCAACTATGGCAAATATCTCTGATATGAGGCTATCTATAGGGGAGGCCTGTGTTCGGCTATGGACTTTAATAGGCTGTAACGACAAGGAATATATTTGAAACAACATTTATGACATAATTTATGCACGCAGCTACTGGCGAGCCCGCTACAAGCTTAGCTGTAGCAGTACCTTTTGCTATGAGAGAAGCCATTGCTTCGGCAAGGTTCGATTCTGGGATTTCAACTACAGAATGGTTCCAAATTGGTGAGCATTAAAATATAATTGCTGCTAATATATACTAAATAATATACTAAATAAGCTTTTGTCCATATTATTATAATTCAATGGTTATCTTGTTTTTGCTTTAATGATTTCTTATATTTACGCGAACTAAATTTTCCACACAAATCCTCGCGAAAGAACACCGATTCCTACCAAGGATGATACGTGAGGCTATTGAAATTAAAAAAAAACATCCTAATTTCAATAGAGAAGGAGGCTGGGTACTACCACCTGCTTGGAATCCTATAATCAATAAAATTAAAACTAAACCCAAGCATACCACTGCAAGACCTCAGGATATAGTCAGTTCATTTTGCATAGATTGGACCATAAACAATAATTAAAAAAAAGCTGAAGGTACTCCGGGTTTAACAATGACATCGGGACGTCGGTCATCTCAGTCCCCCCGTGACCATGGGTGCTGGAAAGCGCCCGAAACGTTGGGAATTAAAAATAATAGTAAAATAAACGCGATAAAATCCGTGAAAGTAGTTTTAATCAATTGTTTTTGCTTTGTTAATCTTTGCGTCATCATAATTCGTGCTAAATAATTCAATCTTTTACATGCCTCACAACGTGAGGGAGTGCTCTACTCTCGATATGTTTCTATACCTCATTTTCGCTATATTAAATCGTTCTATACTTCTAGCTAGTCATCAAAACCATATTATTATCAACGTTACAATAACTACAGCCATTAAATTGTAAGATTATTCATTTTGTAATTTACAGTTCTTCCATTTTTGAAAATTGCTGCATGTACAGGCTTAAATAAGATATTGTTATTGACTGACTCTTAAGTCTAGTGGTCGTAAACACGACGATCTTGATGTCCCGGGCTCGATCCTGGTATTCTGGTATCCTGGGTAAAGTCAAAATCAGTTACCAGATTTTTCTGACAAGAAATCCTCAGTAGCAGTCCGGAGTCAGGACGATGGCAGTGTTACACCCCCGTCCCTCGAAAAGCCTGCGCCTGATTTTTCTCCGGTTGTTTTCAATCACGGACCCAAAGGAATATGAAAGTGAGGGGATAGAGTGTTCACCTGTTCTTGCACTTGGGCAATATAATCCTGTCCTACGCAAATGGCTACTTTCCATTGAGAATGGCTGTCGAGACCTAAATTCGGCTTAGAAGAAGATTATGTTGTTATCAATTACTCACATTATACAGCGATTTTTTTAATTAACAACTGCCTTTAATAAAGAAGCCGATGGAATAATTGGCGTTTAAATTAGTTTTTGACGTACGTAATTTATTTTTTCAGATGGGCCGTTTACCACACAGCAAACATGCTTAGCAGCTGCTACGAAATTCGAGGATTTTAAATATTATTGATGATTTTTTTAACAAACTTCTTGCATGAATTGCAGTTTTTTAATTTAATTAATTACTATCTTAAAGCAAACACATATTCAGTTTACTATTAATTACATTGGACGCAGAACTTCTTCATATCAACTTGGTGTTAATTTGCCATAGTTGCTACATTGCCAAATAATTTAATATGAAATAAACTGAAATCTCAAGGAACAAACTAATTAGATAATTATCTAGCAAATAACTTCGTATAAAATGTTTCGTATAAACATTTTATAAGACGAAAATTGGACTCGAATTTTATAGTAAAGAAGAATACTAAATATAAATCTTGATAAACATGACTGGGTGAATGTATACTAAGCTACAAGAACTACAGGAAAATAATTCAACTCCTGTAATGTAATAAATGTCTTTAATACATTTATTTTTGTCAAAAGTGTTAAATACAGTGCTCCAGTTTAGGTGTCTTGGTCAAGTATGGGTTAAGATATCACACATATGGGATCTGACTGATATCTGGTTAGTCTTTGCTTTTTAAGTGCAAGTTTTATTTTAGAGTATCGAAAAATTCAGCTGGTCTAATATTATTTTAGCATAAGTTGAATGAACTTGATATATATCGAATATTAAATCAATTTTTCTTACTAATCTAGGATGTCTGTTATTGTTAATTATACCCTTAACCGCCTCTACACGGCAATATTATTATTACAAAATATTATTATTATAAAAAGAAAACTTTGTGTGCACTTACTGCTGTAGTGACATATTGACCGTGTTGTGTCAGTGTATGAATATCAATTACCCCATAGAACAAGATCAACTCAGAAGATGGACAGCAGCTTCTTCTTAATATAGACTTAAAATAAAAACTGTGGTGCGCGTGCCAACTATAGCATATATATACCACCATGAGGCAATCTATGGGAGAGGCCTATATTCAACAGTGGACTTTAATAAGTTCACCGTACCGTTATCAGTAACGGTAAGTGTATTTTTTATAGAATGGTAGCAAACGAGCATGCGGCTCACTTCATGGTAAGTGACCAGCCCCGCCCATGAACAACTGCAAAACCAGGGAAATTGCAGGTGCATTGCATTGGTCTTTTAGAAAGAAGTATGCTCTTTTATTGAAGGTCCATAAGTCCGGAAAAATCGCCGATGGTAAACGATTTCACAGAGCAGTCGCACGAGGAATAAACTCATAATAAAATGTACAGTTGTGGACCACCAAGCATCCAGATGGTATGGATAATATCGTGAGTTTTGTCGCGACGAGTGTTCGCGTAATTTAGCGGCTGGAATTAATCCGATTTAATTCCTGAGCTGGCACTGGCAAGACCTGGCCCAGAGATGGAAACAGTATTTCATGTGAGGCCAAACCCTCGCCTTGTAAAGTTGTGGACGGCGTGCTGGCATAAAATTCTGTACCGATTTGTTGAAGACGCTAAGCGTTTTTAAGGCCAATTTTACCTTCTCTTCCAAGTGATCACGAAACAACAAAAAAACGAAACCATTCGATATGTCGACGCCGAGGATTCCGATACTGGCTGAGGCAACAAGAGGAGTGCCTTGAAACTAAGGACATAACTAAGGGGTTCTTTTTAGCGGTAAACGCGCAAATTTGTGACTTCTTTGATTGAACTGGAGTGGATTTTTGTAGATGTTTGCAATAAATTAATAAATAAGCCTTTTATTTATCTTTTTTCATACTGTTTTGATATTGTATATTCACATGAAACAGCAATAAACAAATTGTATTTTATAAATGAATTGTCAATGTGTAAACATTGAAAGAAAGAAAGAAAGAAAGGTTTATTCTCCAAAATGACGCCATCACAGATAACATAAAAAAACACATAATTTACAAATAATATTGGCTATACAATACAAATTACAATATACTACATATTACAAACTATACAATACCTATACTAGTATGTGTCAAGGCGTCATCTGGGAACAGGAGCACACTCAGCATGATGCCATGATTTTTTTTCCATGGCGCTGATTTTCAGTGTGTCCAACCAGTGACTTACCGAAATCAGTGCTATATGTATACTCATTTTATTATGTTCCTGTTCGCCAAGCGAGCGCGCGCCATGTTATACTCCCGTTCACTCGGGACCTTTTTGGCGGGAAAATTTGTAAGTTAGCAAATTGTTTGCTATATTGCAAATTTTGCTATATTTTCACTTTGAGACAATATTTGTGGATAAAACTTACAGGAATTCTTGTTGAATGTATAAAATATCGAATAAAATTATTTTTGGTTGCTAGAAATTGTAATAAAATACGTAAATTACCCTGTATAGCACAGTAGTAGTATGTACTTCAATTTTAGTGACAAAATTACTACTAATTTGAATTCTACACTTTTGTTTTTGGAGAAATTTATATCAAATTGTTTGGAAATATGTATATTTTTATGTTTTATGTGTTTCCATTCGTTACTCATACCAAAATATTAAAATATAAAAAAAATAAAAAAAATTAAATAATATTTTATCTCTATGACATTTCGAACAATATTTCTAAAATATGTTTGTGTGAATTTGAAATAAATACAACGTCATGTTATTTGAAATATATACGAAAACTATTTTTACTTACATTTTACACTAAAAATAAATGAGAATTTGAAAAATAACACATTTATAACTCACCTGCCAAAACGGGCTTTCCGGAATTTGAAGTACTTTTGGCAATTTACTTTTCACTTTTTATACCACAAATTACATATCTACGTGTTTACTATATTACAAGGAATATAAAAAAGTATAATACTTTCGTTTTTAGTCCAGACACAAATATAAAATTCTATAAAAAAAGACGGAGCACCTTCATCAAAGTGACACGCGGAACGCCGGAAGTTCAGAGTGATTTCTTTTTTTTTTTCTAAGAAACATTGCCAGGTTATGGTTTAAAATAAAAGAGCATATCTTTGTCTTTGATACTAATATCTATTGCATAGTGTCTTTGGTTTTGTTTAAAACGAAAAAATAGTTTTTTCATAGGTAGACATGTTTACATAATTCTGATCTAATTCGATCACTACTTGGCGGGCGTAAGGTTGGTATTGCGCGATCGAAGGTGAGCATGGCTTGGTTAACAGGATGATGACAGAATTATGCACAACAAGGGGGAAAGAGACAGTAACTATTTTAAGTGAGAGGGAGAGAGTAGCGTTCAAGGTCGAATGCCACTTCGACACAGCACGTCCCGTTTATGCCAATTCATTCACAAAATTAATTCTTATTTTAGTTACATAATTAATTTAAATTTGTAATTTTTAACATTTAATATGTTTTAATTTATTTTTCATTATATAATTTGATCCGTTAAAAATTATTGTTATTAAATAAAAAAATGTAATTGTTTGAGTTATTTTAATGAGAACCCTTCTTGCAGGATTAAGACCTTCATTTTTGACCATTGTTTTCTATCTTTAGCCTTTGTTTGCCAATCATCAATCTTTGATATCGTCGATCCATCTTCTACGTGGCCTCCCTCGTTTTATTATAACCTTGGGCCCTTTACATACTACGACACAAATAGTCCACCGGTCGTTCTCTATTCTAGCTGTCTCGTCCTGTCTATTTGCACTCAAATTTCGTTTTTTTTTATAGGATCAGTCCACCTGATGGTAAGTGGTTGTTGT